ATATTATATAATATACCCTCTGTCGCTCCTCTGGACGTGTCCAAACTGTCTCAGTCTGTTTAATCTGTTGTTTATTTCCTGTTGTTTATTTCCTGTTGTTTATTGTATTTTGCGTTAATAAAACAGTCTCTAACAGTTTTGTCGTCGTCCCTCACAGCGGAGAAGCCCAGCGCCGTGGAGACGCACGCCCAGCCGTCACGCCTCAGCGGCAGCAGCTCCAGCTCAGACTCTTCCTCCTCCTCCTCCTCCTCCTCTTCGTCAGACAGCAGCGATTCTGACTCGAGTTGAGATGGTTTCTCAGAGCCCACGAGACGAAGCACTGCAAACTCAGGGAGCTGGGCTGGCCCAGAACTCACCACACCCTGAAACATTTGGCCCAGACACCACCACGAAAACACCTAAAACCCCAAACAATAATGGCCTTTGTTTTCCCTCCTCCTGCTTTGTAAATACCTGTACACATTTATGTTTCTTTTATAAAGAAGATTTTATGGTAATCCCTAAACAGGGAAGAGTAATAAGTCAGCTGGCCCTTCTAGTCAAAACAACACAAACTGCTCATTTTACCCACATTTTCTCAGAAACGACCACAATCTGAAGCAAAACGTTGGACTTTCAGATTAAAGCCCACCCACCTGGTGCTGGTGGTCCTGCTGGATGTTCAGTAAAATATTCAGTTTCCCTGTTGTGCTCAGATCTGTTCTGTTTACACAGCTTGTGACTTTAGTTTAATTTAAATCCTGTACAGTAGTTCTCCTTGGAAACGAGGTGCATTTATAAGACAGTATAAAGTAAGTTTAACATCCTGTAACAAACTTAATCTGTTAAGTTGCACATTCTTTTAGATTAAACAGATTTAGTGTTTGCGATGTTCTAAAATCTAATTTAAAGACTGATTGTTGCTGACATGACACTACTAAGAGAAGTGGTTTTCTGTGTTTTAAACACTTGTTTTTCTGCAAGCGACGCTGTTCTCCACCTCAATCTTTAAATAAGATTATAAAGTGAGTTTAAATTTCCACAGATGTCTTCAGCACGTCTGAAGCACCTGGAAATGTTTTTTATTTATGGTTAAATAGATGTTTTGGCCACTTTAGGAGAGCAAATAACCTAAAAGGTTTTCTTTCACTGATGGGGTGGGGAGGGGGGGGGTTTAGTCAAAGCTGCTTTTGAATGTTCAGTAAAAAGGTAAAGATATGCTTGTACATACAGTAAAACTTGCACTGTATTTGCTGTTGCACAAATCATTGTGTTTCTGCTGTTTAGTCACTTTTTTTGGTTGGATTTTGATTTTAAGTCATTCCAGTTATTTTGTTTTAGTTGATTCATCGTTTTGTTTGATTGTTTAAATATATTGTAGAACTTTTGTGAATTCTTTGTCTGACATTTTTAATTTATATTAAAAAACCGTTGTGTTGAACTTGTTGTGATGTTGAATGTGTCCAGCAGGTGGCAGCAGAGCTCCATCACAGCTTGATTCCAGGATCTGGCTGTGGTTTCAGGGACGATCTGATCTGCAGCTTATCTGGCTGCTTATTTCTCAGAAGAAATAAAAAGTGGAATTTAACAGTAAATCAGTTATGTGATTTATGTCGTAATTATCTTGTAAAAATGATACAAGTTCTGATGAGACGTCTCAAACTTGTATGAATATTTGAGAGTTTTGTTAAAAACCATCCAGTGGTTCATGTGATAGTGGGCTAACAAAGTTAAGTATTTCACTGCTGAATTTGAAGCAAGAATCTAACAGTTTTAGTGCTCACAGATATTAGTGGAGTTTCTTAGATGGTTGAGGTCGAACAGCAGAGCTGAAAAATACTGAGAAACATTTTATTCCTAGAAACTTCGCCGTCGACTGACCAACATTAAAGGTAAACAGCTCCGTGGGAAAGTGACATGCTGCAGGTTTATCATGAAATTCACTCTGAATAGAACAGACTAGTTTATCAACCAACAGCATAAAGTCTTTAGTTCTGTTAGAAGTGCTGACTCGTGACTTCAGGACCTGCTGCCTCTGTGACCTGACCTCAGACTAAAAGTCCAAGATGGAGACATTTAATTATTACTTTCTGAGAGCTTCAATAAAATCTGTTCATGGGTTATTTTAATAACAGACCAACAACTGAAAATCTATGTGCTAAAAAACAGATATGAAATGTTAAAAGTCAAATATTAATATGAAAGTTTTGTTTATGAAGCTTTCAGTAGAGATCAGTTTTTCTTCCGTATGTTTTTCAGCATGTAACTCCTGCATTTTTTGTGCTGTTTTAACAATTTATAGGAACTTTCAGCTCCTTCAGGACATTTCAGCTGATTTTTGTTTCATTTCTACTTTTACAGATATTTAGCTTTTTCTCCTGAATGAATCTGTCTTTAACATCCTTAAAATCTTCAAAATGTTTATAAATTTTGTTCATTTCACCGTCTAAACTGGTTCTGCTGATTTTTACTTATTTGGCCTGATTTCAGCTTCCTTCGGTTTATATTTAGCTGATTCTAGCTTTTTTTTTTCAGCTTTTCAGCTATCATTCTGACCTTTTCTGCCGTTCTGTTAATTACATTTTTAATGCTTCTTTAAGCTTCTTTCTGCTATTTTAAACATTTTTTTATGATTCTTTCAGCTGTTTTCTGCTAATTTTAGCTGTTATCTGTGTGTTTAGCTAGTTTGAGCTTTTTCAGCTTTTTACTGCTTAATTCAACAAACATGCATTATTTTTTGCATGAATTTCAGCTACTTTTTAAAGCTATTCTTAGCCTGTTTCAGCTACTTTCTGCTCATTTCAGCAGTTCCCTGAGTTTAAGCTGCTAATTTGCAGCAAAATTAACTTTTTTGTGATAATTTCAGCTTCTTAATTCATCAAACATGCATTCCTTTTTTGCATGAATTTCAGCTACCGTACTTTTTAATACTATTTTTAGGCTGGTTTCAGTTTCCTGTGTTTTAGCTACTTTTTTTTTAGCCAATTTGATTTTTTTTTTTTTACCAAAATTAACCTTTGTCTGATAATTTCAGCTTCTTACTTAATTCAGCAAACATGCACTAACTTTGTTCTTTGTGTTAATTTCAGCTACTTTTTAAAACTATTTTAAGCTGGTTTTAGCTCTTTTAACTACTTTTAAAAACAATTTAGGTTGGTTTCAGCTCTTTCAGCTATTCAGCAAAGATATTTCAGCAATTTACACAGCATTTTAGCAGAAAATGCCAGTTCTCTAGTTAACAGTGAATTTGTTCTGTTTTAATGTATAATAAGCTACTAGATTATTGTTGTTGTATTTTATTTAAATTCAGCTAAATTTATAAAAAGAAAACATGAAAACCTTAAAGTTACTTCCTTTATATCTGCTTTAAAGAATATTTATACTTTAAAAATGTTCAGATGTGTAGAAAATACAAATGTTGGTTTGTTATGTGTCATAGTTCCTATTTTCTTGTGTGGAAAACTCAGTGATTTTCATCACATGTGGATCTTTTTTCAGACGACATCTTATTGCCTCAACATTTCTGTCCTTACCATTTGTCAGCAGTTCTTGCATCATTGGTTTCAAACTGTAAAGCTTCAGCTGTAGCTGCAGCTGTAATGGTGGCTTAAAGAAGCCTGAACCTTTCATTTCTCCCGTTTGTTGAGCAGACCCACTGCCGAGCTGTGAAAGATCACTGAAGGCTGAATGGCAGGAACCCCACGTCTCTCTCCACCACCAGCTGTTTGTTCCCACGCAGCTCCGTAAAGTTTCTCTGTAAATGATTCTCACTGATACCAGAAGCGACAGGGAGGCTTTAAGAGCTCCGAGCCAGAGCCTCACTTTCCTGTTATTTGGCATTTCGAAGTAAAGAGCCTGAACCTCTGCCGAGCGTCATGGCAGCTCTGTTGACCGCGGTGGCCCTGCTGGCCCTGGTGTCCAGCAGCTTCTGTGAGGAGAAGCAGTTCCTGCAGCGAGCCGGCCAGGCCTTCAGCAGCAGAAAGGTCAGATCTGTGATGACCGTGACCAACGGGGAGAGGTTTGGAACCTGGACCTGGCCCGAGATGTGTCCCGATCAGTTCTTCGCTGTTGGATTCAGTGTCAGGGTAAAAACACAGAACAAATAATATTTTTAAATAACAACAAAGCAAAGCCTCCAAATTCTGACTTCAATGATAAAACATCAGCTTTAAAAAATACCTGAAGATGAGTTTTTAAGGCACGAGTCTTTAAATGGTGTTTTTATAAATGAAAGAATTTTTGGTTTAAAGTTGCTTCTTTATGAGCAGCAATTTGTTTCCTTTAAAACAACCCCTACAGGCAGTAAATAATTAGTTTTTTCATGTGAAAAACTAATTCTCATGTTAATTTAACACCTCTTCACATAGGATGTTCTCTTTTTCTCTGAGGAAAATGAGCATAAATCCAATCAGAGGCTTTTATTTTGAAGGATTGTGGAGTTTTTTTGTGTAGAGAACATTTCATCCAGTGAATCATTTTACGTGGTTTTGACTTCATATTGATCACGAGAATTTTTTCATTTAATCTAAAAACCACAGCAGGTCTAAAACAAGCAGAATGTTTGAATTTGTTAAAAAACAGAAACATATTTTCAGTTTTACTGAAGCTCAGTTTATTAATTACTTTTAGAAAAATGTGTTTCCTGTTTGAGTCACGTGTATCAGATGATAAGCAGCTGAGAACTGGTTCCTGTCCCCTCAGGTGGAGACCAACCAGTACGGGGCCGACGACACCGCTCTGAACGGAATCCGCCTTTTCTGCGCCAAAGATGGGAACCGGAACTTCCTGTACTACGTGGAGTCCCACACGGGCCAGTGAGCAGTTTGAGTCCAACTTTATTCATTCAAACTTTTAAACAGAAACAAAAGGCTCCAAAATCAAGACATTAAAACAAAATTAAAGTAGAATTTTAAAAATTAAAGAAGCTGACAACACAATGAATTTTAGTTCAAGATGGCCGCCGCAGCTAAAAGTAGCCATACAGCAGCTAATCTGACAAATCCAGATAGTTTCTGCTGTTTTTTTAAATCCTTGTTTCAAACACGTGGCATGTTTTGGTGCTTGGTTTTGGTGGACCACCTCAAAGTTTTCTGCGGACCCCTTTGAAAACCTCTCGGAGGTGGTCCAGAGGCAGGATTATAAAAATGTTTCTTGTCGCGTTCAGAGAGCAAAAGCAAAGCTGTTGGTTTGTCTTCGTTTCGTCTCAACCTCTGAAACTCTCCCTGCAGCTTCGGCGAGTGGTCCCACCCCCAGTACTGCCCCAGCGGGGTCCTCACCTCCTTCCAGATGCGCGTGGAGCCCCACCAGGGTCTGTTGGGTGACGACACGGCCGTCAACAACATCAAGTTCCGCTGCAGCAGCAACCCCATCCTGGAGGCCCCCGGCATGGACTGGGGCGAGTACGGACACTGGAGCCCCGTGTGCCAGACCGGGGGGATCTGCGGCATCGAGACCAAGATGGAGGAATACCAGTGGGGTCTGGACGACTCCAGCCTCAACGATGTCCGCTTCCACTGCTGCGACCAGCCTCAGCAGGTACTGCAGACTCAGAAACAGCTAAAAGCTTTGTTTTAGCAGCAGCTGAAAAGATTTAAACGTGTTTTTAATTTTTGTTTCAGTGATCAGCAGGTGAGACGTTCCAACACCTTCAACCCAAAGATGACGATGAATAAAACATTAACTGAAACTGCGGTTACTCCTCTTCTTTTCATCGTTTTGTTTAAATAAACCAAGCTGCAGGTTTTATGCTGACCACTGAACTGATGGAGCAGAGAGGTTGAAGTAAAGTCACGACAAGCAGGAGGTGCTGACGCAGGAGTTTCCTGCAGTAATTAAGAAACGACAAGAGAGCGAGTGTTAATTAATTTACAGTTTAAGACCTGACAAAGGTTGATAAGACACCGAGCGGCGCACACACAGAGCTAATTGTGCTAATTAATCTGTGAGCGGTTAATCGGCTAACAGTGTGTGGAGAGAACGTTATCTAACTCTGAGCTAAAGCTTTTCAGAAGATTCTGCAAGTCGAGACTCACAGCTGATCTGACACCCAACAGCTGGAACATCAGCAGGAAGAATAATCTGTGAAGAGCTCATTTCTGATGTTTGTTTTAACCTGAATATTTAAAAAACGTACACAAAAGTTTCAGTTATCTATCGTCTCATACAGAAAATAACCAAATAATGGAGCTCTCCGCTGGACACCAACAGTTAACGTTTTCAAACCCTGCTTACAAAACTGAGCCAAGTTGAAGAAAGGTTTCAGCTTGCTGAATAAACTCTCAAATCGGGATCTGAAACACAGTTCCAGGCAGGGTATGGGGTAAAGTTACTACCAAAAAGAATTGAATGCATGGGAGTCTGAATTCTTACATTTAAGTCAATAAATGTGCATACATTTCAAATTTGTATTTGTATTTATGTAAAATCAAATGTTATCTGTGAGAATACAAGTTTAGAAGTTACAAATACAAGTGACAAAGTTACAACTTTACAAAAATACAAGTACAAATTTACAATTCTTCCACAGTGAGGAGCTGTCAAAATAACAGACATAATGCATGGAACAGTGAAAAGATCAAACGTCACACTGAGCATGTGTAAAAAGGCTGCTCTTTATGGTGGCCGAAGTGCAAAATCGCAACAAACAGTAAATGCACTGAAAAAAAAGTAAAAATGATGCACTCATAAAACCAACTGCATACCTAATCTCATTTGTTATTCAATTCAATTCAGCTTATTTATATAGAGCCAAGTCACAACACACATTGTCTCAGGACACTGTACATAAAAAGAACAATCTAAAGAAGAAACCAGCAGATTGCGTTGAATCACTTCATCACAGTCTCCCATCCTGAGCAAACGGTGGAGAGGAAAAACTCCCTGCTAATCAGGAAGAAACCTCCAGCAGAACCAGGCTCAGGACAGGAGACCATCTGCCTCGACCGGCTGGTTGAGGGACAGGAAAGAGACACAGACAAACACAGAGGAACTGGTCCAGGACTGGTCCAGGTGCACCTCCTTCTTTAAGAGACAAAGAAAAAACATGTTATTGATAGAAATAATTACAATAAACATGTAAAGAAGAGAGACTAAAGACAACAGCAGAGCGAGGAAATGTGCTATCTGTGTTAACTCCATGAACTCAGTTAACAAATATTTTCCTGATTCTGATCCATTTTATACCTGAAACAACACAACTAGACACTGCTCAGTCAGAACAGGACCTTTAATTTATCCAAAGACATCTCACATATTAAACACTGAGGCTCACTGGGATCTCTCTCTGAAAATTAACATTTTTACATAAAACACAAAAATCAAACAGTGAAATAAAACAACAATAAAATGCATCAGTGAGGTGATTTTCAGGAGAGAGAGACTCGGGGGGGGGGGGGGTATTATGCAAAATGGACTTTTATGAGCTTTATATCATTAGTCAATGTTGGTTTTAATGTTTTTATTTTTTGCTGTTTTTATGATATTTGCTCATTTTACTTGCTTTTATGCGTTTTCATTAGTTTATAGTACTTTAGCCAATGGTATTGGTTTTAAAGGCCTTTATAAATAAATTTGTGTTATATTGTAATTTATTCCCTCATCAAAAACATGCCCAGAGTGTTGCTTTGACTCATTCATGGATGTTTGAGAAATCCTTGACTCTTCTGTGGTAGCCATATGCCTAAACACCTGCTGCTACAAAGTCCCGCCCATTTTTATATGAAGCTCCGCCTATTTACACAAAGCTCCTCCCTGGAGCTCAGTCTGCAGCTCAGCTCCCGCCCCACAGAGCACCCCTCCCCTACGACACATTGTTGTGATGATGTGCTGAAGAGGGAGTGTCTGAAACAGTAGGAGGTTCTTAAAGAAACAGGCCAATTTCAAGGCTTTCAGATATATAATGATGCAAAATCAAATTTATTTTGGATTTATAATATATAAAGGTAGCATAGTTACTTGATTGTGGTATGTGCCTGGAAAATACGTAACCCCACCCCCTCCCATAAAGGATTAAACGGAACACATTGAACACATTACTTACCGTATTTAGTCAAGTATAATACGTAAAATTGAATCCATAAAATCATCCATAAAGTTGGGGGGTAGTACTATACTCTGATAAATATTTTTACTTATGTATTTTAACTGAAATATCTGCTTCATTCACAAAATTATTGAGTCCGGAAATGAGACCACGTTGTAAAAATCAGTTGAAACGAGCTCACCTCTGACACTCCTCCGTGCTTCAGAGCGAGATAGTAACAGATCCAGGCAGGAGATATGATGTGAAAAAAGGGGGGTAAAAGCAGTCCTGCACCTTAGTAATGATAACAAACTAAAGACATTAGCGTGTGACCGGGCTGCTCCTCAAACAACAACAAACACATGCTCGTGCTCGTCTGTAATGGCTGCCGTCTACCGATGTTCTGAAAAAGTTTTTATCCCTGAAAAAAGTTTCCCCGAGAGTAGGAAGTAATCTGCTTTCCCCCCAAACGATGGTCCAAATCTCACGTGGTCTCTGACTTTTGTGTTAGCGCCTCCTGGTGGACTATGAGTAAAATGCCAGAATTCATATGATGCTGCTACAGCTGATATATATTTGTTGTCAAAATACTTTTTAGCACATATGTTGTTAAAATAAAATGAACATTCCAATGATCATTTTACTGATATGTATAAAGACTGCAAAGGCTGAAAAATATTGAAGTCTGTACGAAATTGGAAGTAGTTTGAGGATTAAATTTTTTATGATTTTTAAGCTCAAAAAAGGGGGTGGGTCATATTATACATGAGATCGTATTATACATGAGATCGTATTATACACGAATAAATACGGTAAATATAACAAAACAGGAAAAAACAATAAAATTAATTCTGCTTAAAAGCCAGTAAATACAATAAACCAAACATGTCAACATAAAGGACTGGAACAGGGTAAAGGCGAACAGATGATGTCAGTTCTTCAGCAGATGGCAGCGCTGCATCATGTTGAACCCACATGAGGAACAGAGTCCAGTCAGGAGAGCTGGTGTAAGAACTGCTAGGAGGATCAGGTCCTGTTGGACCTCATAGCCCCACGTCTGGGTCAGACTGAACCTCCACCTGAATGCCGCTCCAGTCATAAAAAGCATTTTTCTCACTTTCAAGCAAACTTCATTATTTAAAGCAGGCCGCTCTCAGCACACCGCTGAGGAACATTACCTCTGGGTCTGCGAGTGGAACCGCTCCGGGTCAGGAGTTTAATACCCCACACCGCAGGCTGGCTGTGTTTCTGACCATCTTTTAGCAGCCCTCCAGTGGCTCAGCAGCCTGCCTAAAGAGCCATTAACGCCTCCTGCGGTGAGCAGAATGGAGCTGATGTTTGGGCTTCTGGTTGGAGGCGAAGCCGTCTCCTTAATGACCTCCTGCTCCCTCGGGCCCACGCCTCATAACTTATAGATCACACCAGCTGCGCTGACTCAACTGTAAATATAATCTGCTTCATAAACACTGCAGGGATATTATGTTGGTTTGTGTTTCCAGATGAAATATTGGCACACGAGGGACAGCTTCGGGCTTGAATGGCATTGTTTCATCCAGAGATGGAAAAAAAAACCCGTGGACCAGGGTGTTGTGGAGTAAATCATATCAAGAAGATGGATTTTAGGGTTCAAGCAGGGATGAAGGTATAATAACCAGATGGAGCTGATTTAAAATAAAGCTCTTTCTGCTCCTAGAAGTGGTTCGTTTGGGTCTGAAGGTTTCAACTCGGAGCCACGTTCTGCTTCTTTGTGTGTGTTCTTTCAGAGAGCTGAGGTTTTCACCGACTCTGTCCTTGTGTCGTTTTATAACTCAGCACATCAAAACTAAATAACAAGGTTTTATAACTGTCAGTAAATCCTGCTCTTTCTGTAAAATACAAAAATGTGCTGCAGAGACAATCTTTAATTTGAAATACATTTGGCTTAGCCGGACCCGTTCTGCTTATTTCACTCATTCCTGACATTTGGATAAATCTAGGTGCTCATAAGAAACATAATGAAGTATTGTATAAAAATAATGAAATGAACTGCTGGCTAATTGAAACTGTTTGATCCAAACTTTAAGGCCTCAAACAAAGAAAAACAACCGTTTGAACTGTGGTGATATTATATTCAAACAGCTCTGGATGCATCAGTAAAAATATAATAATTATTGTTTAGTGATTTTTTGATAATTTAGCATCAGATTTGGTTGATTGCAAGAAGATCGAGACCTTTAAAAATGACCCTCTGTAGAATACACTAAACAGGTGCAGAGCTAGATTTTTTACAAGGGGTGGCCGAGGTGTTATTGGGGGGGGGGGGGCACATTAATAAAGAAAACTACTCTGGATTTGAAAATTTAAGATGGCCACCACAGCTAAATGTAAATGGATATAATTCAGCTATTTTAAAACTGAGCTGAAATTTGTTGTGTTGTAGCCAAGAATGATTGCTGGTCCCAATTCAAGCTAACCACTAACGCTAATTTTACAAAGAGCTATAAATCAATCGTTAAATGCACAACTGAAAATTTGTATAGTAGTAGTCAATAATATTTTTGACAAAATCTGAATGTAAATAGAAAATCCAAGATGGCCACAAAAGCTAATTTTAAATAGTTGGACCTTGGCCATTTTTTTTTTACAAATACTGAGCTGAAATTTGGTAAAGTTTTAGCCAAGAGCAATCCCCATGTCATTCTGAAATCTCACTTTTAACTTTTTAGAGAAATTTGGTGGAATTGTTGCTTTTATATTCAATTCAATTTTTTCAATTAAAAATGTATTCATTTAATTAAAATTAACTATATGAAATAGAAAACAAATAAAATACACAAATCAAAATAAAATGAAAGGCAGCAGAAGGAGAATAAATCTTATAATGTCTGCCACTTTTAACCCCAGAATATGTTCAAACAAAACACAATTTACTAAACAATACTAAATAAAAATGAAAACATCAACTCAAACAACAATTCGTATACTGTAGCTTCACATTTTACTTTTCCATATAACTTTAACAAACCATCTTTTATCTGTCTCTTAAATATATACAGTACATAGATCTGACATTTTTAAGATCATCTTCCGGACCATTTCACAATCCTGGATTAGAGTACATCTTTCTCTTATTTTATATATTAATTCATTGAAAAGTTATATTTTTCTTTGCCCACTGATAGGTTCCCTACAACACACATGACAGATATTTACTTTGTTTTAGCTTTAACTGATCATCTTTTATTGCCAAATGTGATCCCCTCCCCCACTTGTCAATCATTTGGGAGTGGCACCTGGAGTGGCCAATCAGGTGCCAGGGGTGACAGTCTGGCCACCCCTCTGGCTCCGCCCCAATACTTGCCACTCAGCTCTGTAGCTGGTCTCACAAATGCACGTTCCTTACAAATGTGGCACCATTTAAAAGGGAAATCAACAAGCTTTTATTGCCAAGAAGCACCGTTACAACAAAAAAATGTACTAAGCTTAGATGAATTTATTTTTATGTATTTTCTGTCATCAGCCAACACCAGTGATTTAGGCTGAATGAATATTAGCCCTGAGTTATCTGGAACTCTTTATTTACTCTTAAGAAAACTAAAAGCTGAAAGATATTTTCTGTTTCTTTAGTGTGAAAGAATTGTTTAAGCTGTCTTACTGGGAAACAAAGAAGAAGCAAAGACACGTGTACACATTAAATATAAATCATTTTATAATATACAAATTGTACAGATGTTAGGTACAGTAGGAACGTAGACATACTCAGGATAGCAAAGATAAAGATTATTTTTTCTTCCTTGATATCAACGCAAGTGACAACAGCACACGATCAAAGGTACGTGACATTCAAGATGGCAGCTGAGGTGATTAAAAAAATGTCAGCGACGAATAAAAAAAATCTAACAATAATACATTTTCCAGAGGCTGTAAGCAAGCTAAAGTGACAACACAGAAAAAAATAGGAGTCTGCAACCTTTTGTATCATGTTCTGTCATTTCTGCTTCATAACACAGGAAACGAACCAAGATGTTTTTTTTATAGCGAGAGCGATTTGAATCGATGCCACTGTTCACACAGACAGTTCTTTACATGAAGGGTTTTATTTATTTAGCATAATTTCACTGATTAAACATAAAATTCTGTCTCCCAATCTGTGTTTTTATTAAACCAGACCAAATTGGAAGTAAAAAAACAATAATCCACAGGATGACTTTTCATAATTTACTTATTTTCCAGAATCTGCTCGCAAAGTCGAGTTTTCTCCGTCGTGTGTTCGCAGGAGGCTGAAGGAGAAACGTCACAGCTTTCAGATTTAAAAAGCACAACGAGTTATTAAATAATTAAATACTTTTTAAAGCCCAATCAGCTGCAGGAATGATTTTCATTTGGACGCAGAGTGGTTGTTCAGTGGTGTTTGGACAGCTGTGGAAAACCCGTTTGGTCTCAGAAACGACCCCTGCCCTCGACTGCCATTAGTGATGACCTCACGCCCGCCGCTCGGGTCCGAGCGATGGAGGAGGGCGACGGGACGAGCAGGAGGTCACACGTGCGGCGACCCCTCGAAGGCAGCCCCCCTCAGGAGGAGCTCAAAGCGTCAGTCGGCAACTTCTTTTATTTATTTTTTTTAGGTTTATTTTGCGAGCTTTAGCAGAAACGGCAACACAAAGCTTTTTTTTTCTTCCCTTTTTCTTTTTTCAGACTGGAAAACAAAAACATTCACGATATGTTCAAGACATGTTAGAAAAGAAGTGAAAACATGTTACTTTTCTCCCGTCGCTCTTCATTCCCGCAATAAAACAGGAAACAACTTTCTGAACTTCCTGTTTGACTAGAACAAACATAGAACATTTAAATCACCAATATGCCTCTAAAAACACTTCTAATAGCAGGTCGTGGGTCATTTACAGTTTAGTAATAAGGCTACACTGGTCACAGTTTTATATTCTACTCTACACAAAAACATTTCGCCATTTTACATCGACAGAAATCTCAGCGGCGGGCGGACGAATCCCCCTGAAAGGAGAGCACTTGTTCAGCGGAACTGATCACCAAAAACCAAACCAAGTATGCTAATTCTCATCAATTATCCAGGACAGCAGGTCTTTTTATTTTATTTATTTATTTTATCAAGCAGATATATTTTATAATAAACTGTCAGTTACTTTAATGCAAAATGAAACGGACTCGTCCTGAACGGTTCCCCGTGACATCACTGTTAAATGTGAGGCTTGACACGTCGAGGTGTTTTGTTGTCAATAACTCCCCCAACAAGTGACCCCCATCATAAATGCACGATTACTGACAGATTCCCTGCTGACAAAGTCCATTAGCGAGCCACGGTGTCCGCTCAGCACGGTAAACGTTGCTGCCTCCCCCACCTCAGTCCCACCTCAGTCCCACCTCTGAAACAGAAAGCTACGCGGTGCCATAAAAACAGCACAACATGACTTGGTTAATGTCAGAAACGGTGTCTGGTAAGAGGCGGAGGTAAAAACGATGAAAGAAAACGCGGCTGTTCATTTAAATGAGCCGATTTGTTACTTTTATTTGACCCTCTCAGGCATTTTGGTCTTTTTTTGTATTTTATTTTATTTTTTACTAAAACTGCCTTTTCTCTCTCGCAGTCCTCACTTCTGGTTGCTCAACCACACGGTGTGTTTCAAACACAGACAAGTGCTTTTGTTGTCAGCGACACTCCAGAGGTCGGAGCACAGATGTGTGCAGACTCGGTCCTGTAGGTAAAGCTAAGCGGGTGTGCCTAAATACTTGAAGTGCAAACATTAAGCTGAACTTCACGTCTTATCTGACTCGGCTTGAATACGGAACATTCTGTATGCAAGGTGAGTTTAACCCCCCTCACCAAAGAGTGATTATCGGCTCTCTGTGAAGCACTTGATGGCTTAGAGCTCAGAGTAAACAATTATCTCCTCAGCCTACTCTGGATTGCCTGTCGCAGCAAATGCCTCTCCCATCAGCGCGAGCTCTCAGGCCTCGTCCACAGAAACAGGTTCCCCCACAAAAACAACTGGTGCCTTCAGAAAGTTTCTTCATTATCTGAAACACACAGACACATGGGGCGCCAAGTGGTAAAACGAAACGTTACAAAATGTCACATATTTTTCATTATTTAGCTCTCTGTTCTTTGCTAATATTTACTAAATGTTAAAATTAAATGCATTTAATCATTCAATCCTAAATCCAAATGTAAAAGTTAAACCTTTTAAATGATGAAATTCACATTCAGGTGTTTTGGAATGGAATACGGCCTTTCCTTTGTTGGTGCTCGGTTCATGTTATGACATCATCATCATGAGACAATAGCAACCGCTCGCTCCAATGCAGCTAAAGCTTCACTACAAGACATCAAACTTGCAGTTCTGGCTGGTGTCTGAGCTGCACTTCAAACCGCTGGACCACAGGGACCACCCATGTTGTTTTTATGAACACATTTTGAATTTAGATTTTAAATATTATCTTTATAAGTGTTAGCAGAAGTTACCCAGAAGAACCCAAATATCATCATCCAAAGACAAACATCAGCAATGGCCGCTGCTAGCCACCGCTAACACTACTGCAGATAATATTTAAAATCTAAATTCAAATTGTATTCATAAAAACAATCTTTCAATCACGTTTTATGTCTTGTAGAGAAGTTTTAGCTGCTTTGGAGCTAGCAGCTGCTATTGTCTCAGGTTGATGACATCATCACACGAGTCGAGCACCAACAGCAAAGGCTGCATTCCATTCCAAAATACCTGAATGTGAACTAAAGGTTTAACTTTTACATTTAAATTTAAAAATTTAGATTTAGGATTTAATATTTAGACATATCATTTACGTTTAAATTGTTAGTAGAAATTTGCAAAATGTAAGAACAGTGAGCTGAATAACAATAAAATGTTGGTGGAAAATTTTTAACACTCAAAAAGTGAGCTAAATAATGAAAAATATGTTAGTGAAGTTTTTTAATATTTTACACTCGGCGCTCCTTTCTGAAGTAGAGAAACACTGGACTGGTCAAAGCTGGCACACAGTGAGCTAACAGGAAGTCCTCTGGAGTCCGTTATAAAAATGTTTGGAACAGTTTTTGTGTAGACTCGTTCAGAAGAAGTGTTACTGTGTGGACGAGGCCTCAGAAAGTCATGGGAGAACACTTCTCACCTTCAGGTGGACGAGGCAGGACTCTGTTTTTTTTAAAAATTTTTAAAGTTTTTTTTTTTTTTTTTTTTTTTTTTTTTTTTTTTTTTTTTTAAAAACCCAAAACACCCCCCCCCCCCCCCAAAAGCTCACAAAGCTCTGCGTTCTTTGTCCAAATCTCACACTTATTCACAAAAAACATTAAATAATAAAATCAGTGCTCCTCGTCTCCCTAAAGGTCCGATCACACCATAACATGATCAACCCTTTAAATCTGTCAAATCATTGTGTCAACGTAATACTGAATTGTGTTTTAAAGATTACAATCTACGGTAAATCTCTTAATTTACTTTGTTTTCTAAAAGAACAATCGCTGCAAGACTTTTATTGTGAAATCCTGTTTGCAACACATTCTGCTTCCCTGGGAAAGGTTAGACTCTTTCAGGGAAATGAAACATTAAAACAACAGGTGTGTGTGTGCAGAGAGAACACACACACACACATTTACAGAAGGTGACCAGGTCCTGCGTCCTCTCAGTCTTTGTTAATCCTAATCCAGCGTGTCCACAGGGGACGGGCCGGTGTTCGGTGTTGGATACATTCAGATCGTTGGGTTGATCAGAGCAGAGATGCAGTTGATGAAAGATGGAGTTTCTGAGGATGCTGCAGCATTTGGGGAACAAACCCCGTTAATCTGAGTCGAGGTTGTTTTGTGGGGGGGGGGGGGGGGGGGGGCACCTTGACCTTCACCTCGGTGTTACTCCTGAGCCTCGGCGGGGTTTTGAATCGCGGCCCGTGGATCTGCCACGCTCTCCTTGGTAATGACCTCCACCTCCGCCGGTTCCTCTGCTTTGATTTGATCCTCTTCACCTTCATCCTCCTCCCTCTCCGTCTCGATCCCGTTCTCCATCACGCTTTGAACTTCCGCGAGCCGCTCCTCTCCGCCCTCGCTCTGAGTCTCAACCGTCACCACGGTTTCCTTGACCTCCTTGACTTCCTCGTTCCCTGAAGGCTCTCCGTTCCCTTTTGATCCCTCTCCATCCACAGTTATCTTTTCTTCCTCCTCAGCCTGGTTTTCCACCTTTACGTCTTCACTTTCAGCTCCTCCATCTTCCTTTGAGACAGCCTCGATCCCACCATCGATCTTTTTATCTCCGTCGCACCTTTTCTTCCTCTCCTCCTCGCCTCCTCCGGCCGCCTCCGTCTGCGCGGCGCTCCCTCTCTCAGCCACACGTTTGTCATCCTCCTTTTTCTCTCGATCGTTGAGGATCTTGGAATCCTCGGCATCCTTCTCGGTTGTCGTCTTTTTCTTTTTGCTCTTTGCCGTTTCTTTGATGCAGTTCTTGTTGGACTTGCTCCGGGGCTTGAAGATTAATTTCTGAAACATTTACATTATTGGGTTAGTTAAAAAAAGGCTTCTGGCCACAAAGAAGTACACACAGACTTAATTAAGAGCGGATCACGCTGGCTTTAATATCACACAGGCCTAGCTAACTAATCCAGAACAAGTTTGAGCAGGAAATTGCGGGAGTCGTGAGGGGAGTGGCTGGTGGCCTGAAGGCCTTTAGTTTGACCGAACAAGCAGACAAAATGAAAACTGAAAATAGCCTAAGTTATATCAAGGTTTTACAAAGGTTTCCACAGAATGCAGGGATAGAAAACTGACTTCAAAAGCAACAAAACATAATATGTTGCAGCTTATTGAAACTAACCTGTGAAAAGTGACAGAGGTAAAACCTCATTCAATAAAAGCATGTTTTTAATATGTGATAAAATGTACAAAAAATTGTTGATTATTTTACAGAGATGTGCTAAAATAGTACAAACAGATTTGTTAATGAGACAGTTTGACTTTAATTATCACAGGTAATTTTTAGCTAATTTAAAGGTGTAATAACAAGCTGTTGGCTTCAAACCGCTCGTCTTTTTATAATTATTGTTTCAAAAAGTACCAACAAACTATGTAGCCCGTGAGGAAAAATGGGGGGATTTTTTTTTTGCATTCCCACGCAAATGTTTGTTTTGTATGAACTGAATTAAATCTTTTAATAATAGGCTTTTATTTTGAAATATTTGGTAACCAAAACAGGATGTGTCGCCACAAGTTCTGGAAATCAATGGTTATATTTTGTGTCTGCTGAGTTAAAATATCTGCATATTGAATGTCTTCATGTGTGTCTGTAGCTGTGTTTCCATTGCAAATGTGCGCAAAACTTGGTCGATATTCTGTTAATGTCGAAAAAACACAGTTTCACAACTGCGGTGTTTCTATTAAGTAAGAAATACTATTAAAGCCACGTGTGAATATGTTTGTTCTCGCAATAAATCATTACAAACATGGCGGCGATGGATGTAAACACATAGCATGTTGCTACCACGACACTAGCGCTCATCATCAGAGGAGACGTCGGCGTCTTTTATCGAGGCTTTCCAGAGACAAGTCCCTACTTGGGAGCGGCTACGTATGTGGCAATTTTTGAGAAATTGCAGTTGATGAGTTTACTATTTTCTTTTACAACTTCTGTGATTTCACTACTACTTTTACTTCCTGTTATCTTCTTCGTCGTCATCTTTTTCACCAGTAGAAACAGCCGGTTGTTGATTACGTGACTCCCATGATGCGAAAAAAGTGTTTCCATTGCAGTTTTGCAAAATACATCAATTTCGATACGGTCAAAAAAACCACCTCATCCCAGTGCAAAAACATTTTGTCGAAAAAAGTATTTTTCTTTTCTAAATTGACGTGTTTCCATTGAACAAATTCATTTTCAAAATTCTAATTTGCTCATTTTCATGGTCAATGGAAACTCAGCTAGTGATACGTTTAACCCAAAGCTGAGTTAAAGTAGCAGCTAACTCCTGTATTATTGTGAGTGTGTTTCATTTGTTAATTAACTGGCAGCACAACAGGAATAAACAGCTTTTGTGAGGAAACGCAAACAGCTGTAAGAAAATCTTGTGTAAGTCCTGATGTGAGTTTAAATTCAGGTCACACAACATCATCATGGAGTCATTCCTCTGCAGGAACAGGTTCAACTCAAAGGTTATCACAGCTATTTGGGGTCGGCAAGAAAAACATTAACACCCCTGGTTTCCCAGAATAACAGGTCGGTCTGCTGCAGGAGAACTCCTCGTGTCTGAAGCTTCACGTTTACAATGTGTGAGTCTGAGTGAGGAGGAGGAGTCTGGACGGTGGACAACATGACTGGTTGTCATGGGAAAAGGGGGAATTGAAGAAATTTATTGGGGTTGTTTACCACTGACTTATAAAGACACAACACATTGTGTAGTTTTTTTTATTAGGTGAACAGTTATATCTTTTTATAAAGTGGTTATCTCTGATTTAATTGATGATTTTATGTGCAGACTGGGTTGTGGGGCTCTTGATCAGGGTTTCACAGACTCAGGAGGCTTTTAGTTAGATACATACCTGATTTAAAACAAAACATATAAGAACCGTGATCAAACATTAGTGTGAGGAATAATGTCTGACATTCTGACTCAGCCTTTAACATATGTCATGAGGCGGAGTCAGGATGCAAAGAGGTTTGTTTCTGGTGCCCATTGGAGGCACATTAAAAGCTAATCAGTCCACAGCAGTGTCCGGGACATAGGCGTAATTTGCAGGGGGGTTAGGGGMGTTATGACCCCCACAATAATTTGATCCAGTCAATATAACCCCCCCAATAAAATGGCATCATTTGCTCAAACACAATAGAAATTAACTGGTTAAGTAGACAGATGCAACTCTCTTGTTGTCTTTAGGTAAGTTTGACTTGATTTAAAAATGTACAATGTCATGTTTTCAAGCATACCCCCCCCCCCCCCCCCCCCCACAATGGTAAACTTAAAGTTACGCCCTTGGTCCGGGATGGTTTTTGTATGGCTCACTCCAACATTCACGTCATTATTAACTGGTATTAGATCTGAACAGGTAAAGGGGAACGCACACTGCTCATTCGTTAACAGACAGGCAGCAGGTGGGAGAACTGTCTGTAAGAACAACAGAGGATTGTGAGTCTGTACCTTGGATTCCTTCCTCTTTCGGTTCAGGACAGGTCTCTGCAGGAAAACGATCTGTTTGGTGGACAGACTCCCATCACTGAAGGAGGAGAAGACAGGAAACAAAACATTTCTTTAATCATAAACGTCTTTATGGCTGACTGTTTTTGCACGTTTCTCCACTGGGTAGATTTTATTGAAATGTTCAGCTGTGATGATGTTTTCTACTTGAAGTTGTTTATCTATACTTTACTAGAATAAAAAGCAGACAGGAAACACAGACAGGATTCTATGCAACCTTCAGGTGAAAATGAAGACCCCAAACCCAGACCCAAACCAGTGGTTATTCCGTATGTTGCGGGTGTTTCGGAG